ATTTCTTACATTAATTTGCAATTCTTTAAGAACAAGACTGTGTCGTGTTATTAATGGGCACAGTTTTATACAACATTGCTACTTTAACCTAATTTTAGGAAAAATTTATCTATATCTGATTGTTCTATTTTATGACCGCATACTCAGAAATTGTCAAGATTAGGGAGTTAGAAAAAATGTTAATTCCTTGTTCTTATGTTTATGTAATGTTACTACTATCAGCACTAAGGAAATAAATTTTTCAAAGTATATGTATAAAAGTAAATAAAAGAATTAAAATTAAAAAAGGGGGGAGGAGTGGGTAGAGAGAAAAGTGCAACAATGAATGAATGGAAATCCAAAGTCTCTACATTTTCATTAAAATTAATAATAATAAAAAAATGTTTAAAAAACCCTAAGTTGGAGGAGCAAACAAAAGGGGAAGGGGAAAACCTGTGAAAGCTTCAAATATGTTTATGGTACATATAGCCCCCCTAAAAATGTTCGGATAACTCTGCATTAAAAAAAATACTGTATACACACTTTGGTAATGTAGAGGAATTTATCTAAGGAAAGACTGTCGCTGCTTCAATAAGAAATTTATATACAAAACCGCCTGATTAATCAACTCAGCCTGCTCCTCTTGAGCACAAGTTCATGTTAGAATATTTCGGAGCCAACAAACTCCTGCCACTGCATTTTGAAGTTGCTTTTTAAATTAAGCATTTAACTATGAAAATAGATCTGCAGATTGCTTCTTGGCCTTTTGGCTAAGATCGAGTGTAAAATAGATCTGCAGAAAGAACAAAATTGAGATCCAAAGAAACTACAAGTATATATATTGATACACTTTTCACAAGAGGGGGGTACAGTTGTATCGGTATTTTTAAAACAGAAGAGTTTTGATAGCAATAGCAATCAAAACTACTAAAAACACTATTTATTTTTTTTTGTTCACCTAGCAATCTCAATTCTTAGAATTTACCCTAAGGAAAGAACAAGAAGTGTTTGTACAATGATAATAACAATTAAATAAAATTAATCACTGTAATTTACTGAGTGCATATTTTAGGTCCCAGACATTGTGCTATAACATTATATAAATTACCATCTCATTTAATTCTCATAATAATTCTGAGGCAACTATTAATATTATCCTCATTTTACTTACAGATGAGAAAACAGACTTACAGGTTAAGTTCAAAAGTTACAGAGCTGGTAAAGATGTAAATCTCGGAATCAAACACAGAATTATTTGAATTCTAAGCCCAAATTTTCAGCCAGTACAATATGCTTTTCTAAGAAAAGCCGAACAAGAAATTGGGGGAGGGGAATTTCCTCAGCTTGGTAACTTTATTAAATATTTATTATTCATAACTGTCTGGGGGGATCTCCTAGAAGTGACCTAATTTTTTTTTTTAAAGAGAGAGATTGTCTAAATGGATACTATGATACAACTATTACTTGAACATTACAGTGGTGAAGTTCAATGTGAGTGAAAATGAAAAAGTTCATGGTATTTTAAGTGAGAAAAGCAGGTTTAAAACAGTATGTCCAGGGTAATCACTAATATATAATGTGTGTCTGAGAAGAAGGAGGAAAGAAAATATTACTTTGCAGGGCAGCAGTATTTATAAGATTAAAAAAAGAAGCAGCAGCAGCTGTTAATTACAAAAGTCAAGTAAAAAATACAGAAAAGAACACAGAGAAAGTACATCATAAAAAATGAACCCTTATTTTCATTTGTCCTTCAGTTTGTTTTGGGTTTTTTTTTATTTATAAAGGAAAGGAGGCCTGATGACTTAGTGTAGAGCATATAAGGCTGTTAAACAGAAGGTTAGTGGTTCGAATCCACCAGTAGGTCAGCAGGTGAAAGATAGGCCCTCTCCTCCCATAAGGAGTCCCAGCCTTGAAAGCCATTGGAAAGCCAGCTGTGAGATGGACTTGACCTAAGGTGGTGGTGGTGGTATTTATAAGGAAAGAAATGTCTTTTCCAAAATGATAAGACATTGTAAGTTATCTTTGTGCTCCATGGGAATCAGTTTCCCATCTTAACACTAAAAATGAAGGAGTGAGAAGGGCGGTGGGAGGAAGACGAGAAATACTAAAGAATGGCATTTATATTCATTTTCAAAAACAACCTGGAAGCATCTTTAGACTGGTTTGAGCCCTCAGGCTTTTGTCAACCTATCATTAGGTAACAATGTGAAAACTATTTGCAGGGAAAGATTTTGCAATATTTCTAATATATTTCCAAGACACCTATGCTTCATTCTTCTCTCTGTTCTGTACCTTAGTTACAGGGAATAATATTTTTCCCCTCAAGGAAAACCAGAAAGTCTAATATGAATTTATGACACCGCTGGAGCAGAAATAATATTTGTAATGTTAAGGATGCATGGCTGATCCAGACAGTGAATCATTAATGGAGACACTTTTGAATAAGCTTGTATAGACACCTATTTTTATATTCCTTAGCTTTCTACTCATCTAAAATTCTATCTTGAAAGGCTTCAACAATTTAAAGATTAAATAATAAGTTATTAAGCCATTAATTTAACCATTTAAGCCTCTAAAATCAGCACATATTACCTTCCCCCTCAAGTCAATTTGCAAGAGATTAAAATAATAAAAATGATAATATCTCACACTTACAAAGCACCTTTGATCTGCAGAAGCCTAAAGAAGTTTTCAAAAACTTTATAGGAAAACCAGGACCATCCACCCACCTCTCAGAGTACATCTGAGGTAGAACTGGCAGCTGGGGAAAAGCTGTGGAGTAATTTACCATCTGCACAGAAGCTACTACTTTTGAAGAAGAATAAGGAATAGACGTGGAGGGTAATGCAAATAGATTAGGTAGTCAGTTAAATAGGAAATTTAATGGCCACAGATGCCAAAGGCTATTATTTAAATTTTCACCTGAAGAAGAGATGGAAAGTGGCTTTAAAGTCCCTTTAAAGGGAAAACCAGAAATCAAATGGAAACACCACGCTTGCTTAACCACCTTAGAGAAATTACTGGTCTCATTTATAAACTGGCTATGATATTCTAAGTTCATTTTGTATCTAGCAACACTCTGTTCTATTTCACACCCAAATTAAAAAATCTTGACAGAGAATTTATCTAGGCCCCTTTCTCCATCCATCTCAAACATTTGGCACAGTTTTTCTGCCACCTGCACAAACTTCTCAAGCTTAAAGTACAGGTTTTTTCTTTAGTCTTTTCCTTAAAGAAAAATCATTCTACTTTCTTGCTGTGTACCATAGAGTCAGAATCAACCCACAGCTGACAGTCCAGTGGGTTTTCAGAGGCAGTTAACTGCACAGGAAGGGACTGCCCATCCTTCTCCTGCAGAGCAGCTGGTGGCCTCGAACTACATTACTTCGGGATTGTAGCGTAGCTTCTTGCCACTAGGCCAACAGAACTCCCTCATTCTACATTAAAGTGAGAGCCCAGGAGCACTGTAAAGAATTTCTGTCTTTACCAGCTGGTGCTTCCATTTTCAATTTTTTTCCCCTGATTTTGATTTTCCTACATTTCTCTGACTTGGTTCCTGTCTATAAAAGATGAAGCTTAAAGATTCAAGTAAAAGAAATGTATTCCAGCTTGGAAAGAAAAAGATCATTTTTTCAGTGCTATGAGTACATGCGTGAAATTAATGTCAGTGGAAATACCAGCCGAAAAGACCATTAAGATATTTGCTGTTTGTAATGACCAAAGGGCACAGAAGAAGAATTGATGCCTTTGAGTTGTGGTGCTGGAGAAAAGTACTGAACATACCACGGACTGCTAAGAGAACTAACAGGTTTGTCCTAGAAAGGGTGAATCTATGCTGTTCCTTGGAGGCATGGATTTTGTGGCTACTGGGCATATTGCCAGGAGGGACCAGTTGTTGGAGAAGGGTATCATGCTTGGATGGGTGGAGAGACAGCACAGGAGAGGAAGACCTCAGATGAGATGGACTGATACAGTAACTGGGATAATGAGGGTAGGTGTGTCGGAGACAGTGAGACTGGCCCAGAACAGAACAGGGTGCAGAACTATCATGCATAGGGTCACTATCAGTAGACTGATACTTGATGGCACCTAACAACAACATTCTCTGTTATTATTACGACAGTTTTTTATTGGTGTTATGATGGCCCAAAAGGTAAGAAGTCATGCTTCTAACACAAAGGCAGTGGTTCAAATCCACCAGCTGCTCAAGAAAATAGGCAATCTCTTCTCATGCAGTTTACAGCCTCTGATAACGTGCTGAAGGGTGAGATACAAGTTGGTTCAGAACTGAAGACACTGCACAGCGTAGATTGTTATTTACAATGTTATATGCTCCTGATTTAAGCAGCTGCCACCTACTAGTTTAGATGTCTCAGAGGCATTTGCTTGAAGAGTCCTTTCGGCTCTGAGATTCTATTCTGCATTATTCCAACTTTCCCTGATGGTTTCAAGTGGCTGTACTAAGAAGGTGAATAACGACATTTGAGAGACAAAGAATGACGAAGGCAGCTTTGAGTTGCCAAGCTAACCCGTTTTCACTTCATATATAAAAATCTTTATGTAGGGCTGCTGAAGGTATTTTTCCATTGGTATGCCTCTGTTCGTTCCCATACTATAACTGATGCTGGACAATTTGGCCTTGTACACTTAAAAAGAAATCCTAAATGGATGTGCTCTACTTTACCCAAATGCTTTCCACCACGATTATTCTTGCAATCAAGTTGACACAAAACCTAACTAATAAAAATTAATATTAATATATACTAAGCAAAGCAAAGATAAATGGAAGAGAAAGGTATTTTAATTAAAAAGCATTGTGAAATTAACTACAACAGCCATGGATGGTTCCTCTATCAAATTCTACTGACAATTTCAATACATTTGAGCACTTAGTTGCTATGGTTTTTAAATACACAGGTACAAAGTTGTGCATGCACACACACAAACCCCCTCACCACCCCTCCACACTCCACACACACTTGAGAGTTAGGAAATTGCAACGCAAGTAAGAGTCTTGATACCTTCTTCATGGCCTGACACTTGGCTGTCTCAGAAAAGCCAATCATCTTATCAGGAGAACAGATCTTGATGAAGGGGAAGTTGGACTCCTCTGCAATCTTTGCAGCTAAGGCAGTCTTCCCACTGTGCGGAGGGCCTGCACGGAGAAGAGGAGCAAGTCAGGTGAAAAACAGCTAACCTAAGCAAAGGGAACCGAAACAAGTCCAAACTTCATCCACACCGTTCTGAGGCCTCAACGAGATGCTCATTAACATTACCTGACACAATTTCACGGCAGACATGTTTTCTCTTATTTATTAGCAACTAAGCTTAATGAACTGATTAGCATTTCTCAAAGTATGATGAAACATTCTTTTTTTACTTTCCCACAAAGCCTTAATCCTTCAAACTTCTAGTTAAAAATGGGAGGGTTTGGACTTTCTGGGGGGAAAAGTGAATACAGCCAAACATATATCAGTATTTATAGGGTCACTCTGAGTGTATCTCTCTGCTCGATGGCCCATAACAACAACAACAACAACAACAAGTTATTCTATCAAATTGTTTGTGTAACAAAATTATATTCATCAGCTTCCCAGGAGGTAACACTGTGAGCAGGGAATAACTGCCTTAATTAGAAGCAACTGTGACTTATCCAGCTTGCCCACAGACACTGACGGGAGGTTTCCACGAGATAAAACACATGGTGCTAGTAGTGTCCAGCGCATCATAAAGGCGCAAAGAAACCAGTTTACTTGTTTTCATAAACAGTCTGAACTATCTGAATGTCTTTGTATCCTGAATTAACTCAGGTCAGCGCCGAAAATGGAGCAAACATACAGTAACCATTTTCTTAATTGAGCTGGATGCTATGTAACATCATAGCATCATACAGCCGACAAATTACCAGAGAAATCTGGATATAATCCTGCAAGAAAACTAGCTGTTCTCATTCATGAGTTACATTCCACCCCAGGAAGATTTTAATTTGTGCACATTATTGGTGTAACAGGCTGGATTAGTATTTTCACATCATGAACAAAGTTTAGGAGGGAAAAGAATTCATTTTTCTGGAAAATGCTAAATGGCTTTAAGACAAGTGATGGGTTTTGGTTTTACTTTTAATGCCATCTCAGCACCCTCTCTCACCTTCCAGAAGGACGCTAACCAATGGGGTCCGGTCGCTGTTTTTAGTCTGCTGAACCAGCAGCTCCCCATCTTCTAGAACCCGCGTCACTGGATCGCCCCATTTGATGATACCATTCATAATGTAACTTGCATAATCCTCTTGGTTTGTGCCAAATGCCTAAGGAATAACAGAGGGGTTTCAGATCAGCCGAAAGCATTTTACGTATTACATTAAAAACGAATATATTTAAAAGGAATAAAAATAAGTAATAATTCCCTGTCGCTAAAAGTGCTGAGCACTATGCCAGACTAAAGATCTGAAAAGGGAAAGTCAAAATACTCTGAAAGAACAAAGAAACAAAATTGGTTTTAGAATTTCACATTTAACTGTTAAATCAAATGGTTTTTGTAAACAGTGCTTTGAGTTGAGGGAACAGAAGCAATAGATTCTGGGCTCAGAGGTTGGCAGAGCCCAAGCTTTTATCTTAGAAAAGATTGTGTATGTTCCAATGTGCTTGCTTCCATAAGGAATACATGAACTGTGGCAAATCTGTTATGAAAAAGAGAGATTACAGACTTAGAAATTAGAAATAGTTGGCTCAGAAGACAGAGATACTATCCACACATTGACTGTAGGTGCTACAGATTAACATAAGAATATGAAGTGGTAACGAGGAGACTGTGTCTCTATCAGCTTGGTGTTTGAGTATATCAATTAAATGGTAACACAAGATACGTATGTGTGTAAATATAAGATTTAGAATGAGGTAGAAATGGGCAGCTAAGTAAAGATTGAAGGGTTGGGCAAGGGATATACTATTTAAAATAATTTTGTGTTTACATACTATACCTTAATCATAAAAGAAATAAATCTCATCATCACTGAGCCAGGGCTTTAAAGGTAACCTTCCAGCAAGTCTGCATCAGACTGTAAACTGCACAGGGATAGATTGCTGCTTTTTCTCCTGACGAGCCCTGGGCAGACCGGAACCCCCACCAGAGGGTAAGCAGCACAGCTCCCTAGCGACTATGCTATTAGATAGAACTTTCTTTAGTCTCAACTCCATAACCCCGGTTGAACTTACTGCCAAAAATAATCAATAACTTTAGCATTTATCAATTGTATATTCCCTTTTCATAAAGTTAATCAGGAGATGAAATGAAGATAAAAACCTAATCTAACATCCATGTAAAGGTTATGCAGCTTAAGAATTTCAAGTCTTAAAAAAAAGAATTTCAAGTCTTTAAAGATTATCACATCCCTCCAAAAGTCCACTTTTGAGTCTCTGCTGGCTGGTTTATAATTTTAACAGATCCTTCGAATCTGTGCCTCACAGAAAGCCATTCTTCGTAATAACACCAGTTGCTGGCAAGTCAATTCTAATTTTTGTTGACACTTTGAACATGTGGATTTTTCAGCGGCCAGTTGGTCAAAACGCATGTAAGCCTTTCTTCGCAGGTGTCTCTGGAGAGACTCAGACTGTTAATTTTCGGTGAGGAGCCAAATGTCTTAATCCTTTGCACTTCTACCTCTGAAACAGTATTCAGTGGCCTCATGTCTCTCTGTATTTTGCCACAAAATAGTTTTTCAGACCACTGGAATCGTATCTTCACATAAACTAGTCACTGAATTCCTGGGTATAGGAATAAGGTCCTCATGTCTTGGCTGGATAAGGTCATTCAGTGGCCCTAAAAAGTTGTAAGGGAGTTCTGGTTGGCTGGTGGTAAGGAGTTGTGCTGACAACCCAAAGGCAGGCAGTTCAAATCTACCAGCTGTTCTGTGAGAAAAAGATGGGCAATCTCCTCCCATGAGACACACAGCCTCTAAAAACCCAAGTCAATTCCGACTCAATGGCATCTTACAATGAAAAGCTGTAAAGTAAAAGCCTAAAAAATATTAGCTGAGGGGAGCTCTGGTGGCCTAGTGGCAAGAAGCTGCACTGAAATCCCAGAGGCGCATGGTTCGAATGTACCAACATGCTCTGCAGTGGAAGGAGGGGCAAATCTCCTCCTGTACCAGTCAGATCCGATTTGACGGTACACATACACACACAACACACACACACACACACACACACACACACACACACACACACACACAAAATAAAAAATTGAAAAAAAATGAGCTGAGTGGGTGTTCTATCAGTTAGATTTTCTGATTTTACAACACTCTATGTGATTTAAGCTTCTGTAATATTGGGGGGAAAGTACTTACTTTTCTAAGTCATTACTTTTGCTGCTGTTCATCCTTCACTCAATATGTATACTCACTGGTTTGATATCATTCTCCAAAGAAGCAAGGAAGTCTCCTCTTGTCACCTGCAGGCTCTCTGCTTTCTCCATGTCCACCTCCACTTTGGTGCTGGCCTAGGTAGGGATGAAAACAATAGAGTCAGGACTTCCACGATTTGAGTTGGAATATTTCCTGCCTACGTACACACAGTTTCATTCTGCTTGGCTCCACAGTCAACACTCTTGGCACCAGCAACCAGGAAATTAAAGACATATTGCAATGGGAAAGTCTGTGGTTAGAGACCTCTCTAAAGTGCTGAAGAGGAATGATGTCAGTCTGGAGACTAAGGTGCACCTGATACAGGTCATGGTCTTTGCAGTCACTTGCTATGCATCAGAGAGCTGGACAATGACTAGGGATGAGAGAGGGAGAATTGATGCCTTTGAGCTGTGGTGCTGGAGAAGAGTACTGAATATACCATGGACTGCTAAGAAAACGAACAGGTTTGTCCTGGAAAGGGTGAAGCCAGGCTGCTTCTTAGAGGCAGGGATTCTGAAGCTTCGTCTGACATACTCTGGACATGTTGTAAGGAGGGACCGGTCCTTAGAGAGGGATTTTATGCAAGAGAAGAAGATCTTGGATGAGATGGATTGATTCAGTAACTGGGGTAATGGGGGTAGGTGTGTTGGAGATGGTGAGGTTGGCACAGAATAGGGCAGAGTTTAGGGCTATTGTATACAGGCTCGCTATGAGTCTCAGGCGACTCGACAGCACATAACACCACCATGTACATAACACCTGAGGACTTAAAAAAGCACCTTTTCACAGACAAAAAAAAATCTTCTCTCTCAGTTTCATAAATATATAGAGTAAAACCTGAAACAACCAGAACCTGTGTAAGGTGGAAAGCTGCCAGAGAAGAAAAATGCAGGTATTCTACACTAACTGGAGAGCAGCAGAAATGGTGGCTGCACCCTGTCAGAGGCAGAAAACTTGTGAGACCTGGAAAAACGTGGCAGGCTAGTTGACTTCTGCCTCTTGGAGTTTGAGCATATATCCTCTGCCAGAACAATTCCACTTTTAGGAATTTATTCCATGTATACAGACGAAGGCAGGTACAAGAATATCCACTTACAGGAATTTGTAATAGCAAAATATTAGAAATAAAGCAAAAGTTTACCAAGAAGGAACTATGTGCAAATTATGACTCATGTGTACCAAAGAACATTATTATATGACTGTTTTAAAAAAATAAGGCAAAAGTGGAAGGCGTATGTCTAGAAGGTCTCAGAGAGTGATTCTCAGCCTTGGTTGCCCATCAGCATAACCTCTAAGATCTTTTAAAAAATACAAATGCCGGGGCCCACTGCCTCTGGAGTTTTATGTAACAAATGCAGCAAAGGATATGTATCTGCTCATAAAGTGTCACAGGAGATTCCGATGCTCGATGCTCGGCCATGTCTGAGAAGCAGGACTCTCAGAGACAAAGGACCTAAAACCTGACTTTGTCCTCATATTTCGGTTGTGAATCGATATGCCCAACCCCAAATACTTGCCTACTTGCACCTGGAGCGGACATCTGGAGACGCATCAAGGCCATTATCAGCATTTGAAGCTGCCTAGACCTGATGAATGACTGAGATACAGAGACATTTTTTAATGTGACTGGGCTTCCTACCAATAGAACATGGCAAGAGTGTCAGCTTTATAAATTGGTATTGTGAGTGAAAAAAAAATCCTTTTAAAAAGAAAGTGATAAAACGAATATATATTAAAGACATTTTAATCTTCCATTGATTATTATAAAATATAAGTCATGTTCCTTTGGGAATGGATTGTTGAAACAAATAAAATAACAGGTATACATATATATTTTTCTTTTAAAGTCAGCCTTAATAGGATAGAAAGAGCTATGACAGGAAACTGGATCAAGATGACAAACTGAACACATTTTTTAATTTCTATCCTTGCTCCAAATTGAAATGAGAAAGATTAGAAGAATGGCAGAGTAAAAATAATAAGAGAAAAACATTTTTCACAACTGAAGAAATGTGTGTTTTTGCATTGTAAGGGATCCAATGAAGTGCCTTCAGATAAATGAAAAGAAGCCCTTTATCTGTCCAAATAGAATGTTATAAACTTGCAGACCACTAGAGAAGAAGAGAAAGTCCTAGACGCTTTCTGGGAGACAAAAACCAGGTTACCTACAGAGAAATCAGAATAAAATTGGTGTGACAACTCTAGAAACTGGAAGACAATGAAACTGAAACTGTGTCTCCAAAAAAGATGTCTGGACGTGCAGCCTGGAACAAGATTTCCACGTGTCTAGAGAGAAGCCACTGCACATATTTTCACAGCAGTACTAGCTTATTCGTCACAATGAAAATGAATCTCCATGTTAGAAGATCATTCATTCATTCTTTGTACTTACAACCTATCAAGCACTGTTCTATGCACTGAGGCACAGCAGTGCATAGAAACACAAGTCCTACACTTGTGGATCATGCACTTTAAATAACGTGGTACTCTAGAATGTGGTGCATCTGTCTAAAATAATGAAGAAGATTTATATGGACTGATATGGAAAGCAATATTTTATTGAGATGTGCCAAGTAAAATACACATGTTTCGATACATGTAGTGCATTTCCATTAATGCCCTTTATTTATTTTTTTTTAAAGTACATATATACATGTACATGAAAATGAAGGCTACAAAGGCCAATTCTGAGTGTAAGTTCTATTTAGGGAGCAAAAGGAAAGAGAGTATTTCTTACTTTGAATCTTATACAAAGAGAATGTATTTGTGTGTGTGACTTCTTTATTTTTAAAAAGAGAAACAAGTAATACTTATCATAATTATTTCGCTTTAAAAAAGAAATAGTGTCATAGGATCATGATACAGAACATGTAAATCTCTAGAACACTTTACAGCTTATAAGCACAAAGCTGTTCATATAAACAGAGCAAAGTACAGTGCATACAGCATTTTTATATATACCAGTTAGCACTGAGTCAAGTTCAACTCCCACTGACCCCACTGTGTACATCACACTCCATGGGGTTCTCAGTGGTTGACCCTTTGGAAGGAGATCCCAGCCCTTTCTTCTGAGAAGCCTCTGAATAGACTATCCCCATCAATTTTTCAGTTAGCAACTGCATGCATCACCCAGGACTCCAGCACACAGAGGATGTAAATTAGAGGGGAGCTCTGGTGGTACAATGGTGATGCACTTGGCTGCTACCTGGAAGGTTGGCAGTTCAGACCCACGAGCAGCTCTGTTGAATAAGACCTGGTGATGTTCTCCAATAAAGGTTACAGCCTCAGAAACACGGTGTTATACTCAGTCACATTAATCACTGAGAGTTGGAATAGAGTCCATGGCACGATACAGCACATAGAAGTTAGTACTAAGCATAGCTGATTCAGTATTCTGTTCATATACATCATCACATTTCATTCATTCAGGGTTGATACAGAATGTCCTTCCAAGGTACGTTTCATAAAGGTTTTAATGCTGATTAAGACTCTGTGGTCTATCTGAAAGGATTCCAGGATGCAGACTCTCAGGTGACCTTTGGCACAATTATATTAAGATCCCAAATGAAGTTATCAGCCTCATTTAAAGTGTTCACTCCCTCTATAACCTTACATTTTTACTATGATGATTTTAATTTTGAATTGCTCTTTTAGTATAACTGAACCCAAATAACAGAAATATAGTAATAAGAAAGAAAAATGTTGTCCATCTTCTAACTTTTGCCAAAAAATAAGACACATTTCAGGGCTGAAGCTGAGATTAAACTCGTCTTTCTATCAAGAAAGGATTCATTCTTTGAATTCAAAGTACAGTGGCTGGGATGGGCAGATTTAGAGCATGTTGTTTTTAGGCAGCCCAGAAATTTTAGATATTACCTAAATGTATATAAATATTTCAGTTGAAAACTATTTCTGCCACAGAAGTTGTCAAATTACTCCTCTCAGTAAATTCTTACTATTTTATCAAAAAAAGTGAAGTCTTATTTTAAAAATGTCTACAATTCTGTATTTTAATTCATTCAGAAAAAAATTCTCCTTTTTCTGAAGTAGTGAGACTCTTCTCCTTGCATTTTATTTATACAATATAAAAGAGGCAACATCTTTCAGCTTATATCCGCCCAAACTAATAAACTTGTATTTCAACACCAGCAAATACCAAGTGGTCATCCTTAAATTTCATAACCTTTTAAATCTGACCTTTCAAAGTTCTTATCATTCCTCTTAAATTAAGGGCAGAGTGACCTTAATCAATAAAAAAAAGAAAAAATTCAACAGAAAAGAAGAAATAATTTTCTTGAAAAAATTCTGGAAACACAACCCAACTTTGGTTCATTTGTGACTTGTTGTGGAAGGTGTGTGAGTCTTCTTTATTTCTTTACACCAGATTAAAACACAAAGAAATTTGGGTTAGGAACCTCTTCCATACCTGAAGCATAAATTCCTTTTCAGATAAAACCAACCGAATGTCACATGAATTTTAGTTGACCAACCACATGGTTTCAAGTTCATATGACATGAACATCAGGACTTTCTGGCTGGATTTGCTCCGCTTGTTTCAGAAAATTCAAAGGAGGGGGAAAAAAAAGGTCAAACCAAAATAAAACAAAAAAAACCCCCCAGGCTAAGAGAGAAGTCTTGCTTAGTCCATCTGAATCTTTTGAAAGTGCAACAAAAGCACAACTAGTAATAGATTTTTAAAAACAAAGAAAACAGTATCACAATAAGCAACCTGAAAGACATAGACGTTTTTAAAGTTCTAGAAATTTAAAATTATAAATTGTTTATTATTATTATTAATTATAAGTTTAGTATTTATTATCATTATAAGTTTAAAATGATATCTTTATTTATCAATCACTGCTATTAAAGCTTTGGACGATGGATAGCAATGAGAGGATAAAAACAGTGTCTCGTTCAGCCAAGGAGTTGTCTTGGTGGGAAATAGGGGTTACCAATGCAGATTTAAAAAACAAAACAAAACAAAACAAAAACGCAGATAAAGAATTGCCCATAAAATTTATTTTTTTTAAGTGTACAGTTAGTGTCTTATAACTGCTTCTTTTCCTAACCTACCTCTGTAGGGTCTTAACACTAGACAGTCTTTGGAGAACATAAAATATTAAAAGCTATAAGGTACAAAGAGTGTTAAGCATCAAAGAAGAAGATTACCAAAAGCTTACATCAAGGTAACTTCAACCACATGGGGAAAAATAAGGGAAATGATGTCACTTCTCATCAAAATATTTTTTATAGCAAGTGGGAAGAAAAAAATTGCCGGACACCTACAGTGTACACAGTACTTAGACCTATCTGGGACACTGTGGGAGGTTTAGCAATAAACAAGACACAAAGTTAAAGTCTAGAATTGCCAACTTTTCTATAAAAGGCCAGACAGTTGATATTTTAGGTATGGCTGGCCATGTAAATGTTGCTGAAAACACTAATTCTGCCACTAAAGTACAAAATCAGTTATAAAGAATTCATCAATGGTTGTGTTCCAATAAAACTTTATTTACAAAAACAAGTGGTGGGTGAGAGTTGATCCAGGGACCAACTCCCAGGGTAACAACAATCCGATGCACCTGAAATATCCACGGCATACTCACGCTAACTCTTCAGGCTTTTATTACTTCCTGCCTGAGCTGTTATAGAAGTCCCTCTCCCGTCTTGTGTCACCAACTCAACTCCCCTAAATACTGTACCAGACTCAGCTGCTGAAGTGATCTTAAGTTTTAACACTATGCCACTGCTATTCTTAAAACTCTTCAATGGCTTAGCACTACTTACAGAAAAAAGTCCATACTTCTTAGCACAGAATAAAAGACTCTTTGTGCTCTGTGCGCCAGGCTCCGCTTTAGTCTCTTGACTGATCTCCCACAATGCCTCTCTCTACCTCCTCTCTTGTACCTTTTATGCTGAAGAACTACCAAACTTTCCTCATATACCATGTCATTTTGTCTCTGTTCCTTTGTATATGTTGTCTTTTGTCCCTAAAATGCCCTGTGGCTAGCTGGTGTGGAGTCAATTCCCCACGGAACGCTATGCATGCTGGGCAGAATGCTCTGTTAGCGTTTTCAAGATTGTGACCGTCTAGAAGCAGATCACCAAGCCTGCCTTTCAAGGCGCCTCTCGTAGGTCTGAAACACAAACTCTCAGATAGTAGTTAAGTGTTTAACTCTCTGTAAAACCTAGGGATCTGAAGAATGCCTTATCTCACCAAGTACTCATACTCAACCAGAAAATTGTCATTTTCATGAAGAAAATTCCTCTGTGAAGGTTTCTGGCCTGATGCTACTACCATTATCTTCCTTTTGGTTACTCTGAGGATTCAGTAGGTGGCAATTAATTCCTATTCCTTTTATAATCTCTCGCTACTCCAAAAGTCAGCATTACCCTTGCCCTTGCCCTTGGCGTGCTGGCGTGCTTATTTCTAGGGCTGCTATCCTACTGAACTGTTTCCACTGACCTTTATGTGTCTATTCATCGCAGTGGACTGTGCTGCTCGCACCAGACCCTCCAGCTCGGCACCGCTGAAATTCTTGGTTTCCACAGCCAGTTCTTTAATATCGACATCAGCAGAGAGTAACTGATGGCCTCTCATCCGTGCTGTGTGGATGTGAAGGATCTGTAATCGACCTTTCTCATCTGGTAAGCCTGGTAAAATAAAAAAATTTAATGGACCATCTTCCTACTCGAAGGAGAATCATCAGCATTACAATCCAAACGCGCTTCTGATAGGGCCACAGGCATGCAAGCATCTGCTTCTTGCTTATCTACCTTTTTAAATAAACAACTTCTTAAATCAAGGTGGATGACGATTTTGCCCCAACTACCTGTTATGTGCTCCTGACCGCTGATGGGTCTACTTACCGATCTCCATCTTTACCTCCAATCTTCCAGGTCGAAGGAGAGCTTCGTCTATCAGATCCGGTCTGTTGGTCATGCCTGGGCACAGATATTAAAAACAAAAGCAAATTTATATTAAGGTTGAAAAGTTAGTAAAAAGTTCCCTTCATGGTGTGTAAGGGCAGTAATTTCATTGACAAAACAAAAACGGCATTTTATAAAAATCAAATAGGAAATTATTCTTAAATTTTAAAATCATTATTTCTTGATTTGTTCTCATGAAATTATCTCGAGACTCTGTTTTACTGTTCCACCCGCCAGTGGGATATGACTGTAGTGACAACTTCAGATAACTAGAAAATGTAAAGTTCAAGGAGAGTCAATAACTTGGCAGAGGCGGATGACATGAACACAAACTGACTCCCAAGTCTGTTTCCTTCCTACTAGGCCAGCAGTTCTCAACTTTTATAAAAGAGCAGAGGCTCTTTTCAAACATAATCTTAAAAAGAACCTCAGTACATAAAGCAGTTAAAAGAAGTTCTAATAAGGATACAGGATCTGAAGCTTACTCCCTGGCCTCCCTGACCCTGAAGCACCTTGGAGGAACCTTAGAAGCTGACAGAATCTGGTTTGAAAACCACTGTGCTGCCTTTCATGTGTGATGAGCTGTATGTGTAAACCCATGAGTCACTAAAATTTACCTTTTATTTTCTTAGTGAGTCAAGACATTAAAAATAGTCAAATTCTTTAGTACCACTTGATACTAATTTGAAAACATTAGCAAAAGAGTATAATTACAACCTAGACCGGTCTTGATTCAGAAACTATCTCATGTTTTTAAAACCACACTACTTTTTATTTTTTGTAAAGTAAACATACCAATCACTAGGATGTTGTTCAGTTGCTCCACCCCGTCAATTTTGGACAGCAGCTGGTTGACAACAGTGTCGTGAACTCCTGTGCTACCTGCCATGCTCCCTCTTTGCTTGCAGATGGCATCAATTTCATCAAAGATGATGATGTGCAAACCACTGTTAGCACCAAGCTATGAAGGGAAGAAATTATATTAAAGGTCAAGATTTGAATGTTCTCATTAAACAAATGAATCAAAAAAGTAAAACAAAATTTTCCATTTTGATGGCTTGCTCCATTTTGATGAGTAAGTAAAGTAAATATTATCAGGATTTCTGTCTTTGTAAAGGTGACAGAATTGCATTCTCAGAATTCTGCAAACTGAAAAGGCACTTCAGATCTCATATTTCACAAGCATCAAACCCCCACACAAAAACACAAATGATAAACTGATTAGTATGAATGGTTCATTAAACAACAAAATGCTAACTAAAGTATTTCTACTTATTACAGCTTATAAGAACTCTAGCTCTTTTTTTTTTTTTTAGGATAAGCCTAAACTTTTTACTTTATTTTTCTGAAATTCTAATGAAAGACTACAGAGAACATAGATTTCTTTTTCTTTTTAAAAGGTTTTATTTTTGGCAATAAAGAGCACAACATATAAAAAAAAAGTAAAATACATTAATTAGCTGTCTCCACAATTTGAAAGTCCTACTCATCGATTTTTCCCTTTTATTTTTTTTAAATTTTTTTATTATTAATTTCAATGAAAATTTACAGACTTTGGACTTCCACTCATTCATTGTTGCACTCTTCTCTCCTCCCAACCCTCCCCCCACCCCAGTAAATTCTCCTCTTGGAAAAGTAAAAGAAAAATTCTTTCATTGTTTTACAATCCCTCCCCTCAGGTCCACTACACTATGCAGCCTTTGCTCTGGACTCCCATCATGACAAAAATACCTAATCACATATCCCTTTTAAACAGTTTTCTCCCTCATCTGTTTCAATACAGTATACATTATTTAACTCATCTTTCTCAATCTCTCCCCAACCCCAAGGTCAGTCCTGTTTTATAACAGTGGCACCATGCAGTATTTCTCCTTTTGTGACCGAGATACTTCACTCAGCATAATGTCCTCCAGGGTCACCCATTTTGAATAACATTGCATGAGTTTCTTGTTTTTCAATGCAGCATAGTATTCCATTGTGTGAATATACCACAGCTTCTCTATCCATTTGTTTGTTGATGGGCACTTAGGTTGTTTCTAACACCTTGCTATTGTGAACAAAGCCGTGATCAACATGGGTGTGCATATATCTGTTTGGGTGTTAGTTATGGTTTCATTGGGGTATATTCCCAGTAGTGGAACTGCTGGGTCAAATGGTATCTCGATTTGCAACTTTTTGAGAAAGCACCATACCGCCTTCCAACAGTGGTTGTACCATTTTACAATCCCACCAACAGTGAATAAGGGTTCCAGTTTCTCTACAACCTCGCCAGCATTTGTTGCTTGCTGTTCTGTTAAATTTTGCTATTCTGACTGGGGTGAGATGATCTCTCATAGTTGTTTTGATTTGCATCTCTCTTGGAGCTAGGGATTTTGAACATTTCTTCATGTGCTTGTTAGCCATCTGAATGTCGTCTTTGGTGAAGTGTTCATATCCTGTGCCCATTTTTCAAATGGATTATTTATCTTTATCTTGTTGTGGTGCTCAGTATTTTATAAATTCTAAGTATAAGTCCCTTATCTGACATATCATTACCAAATACTTTTTCCCAGTCTATGTCTTCCCTTTTTACCCTGGTGGAGATGTTTTTGGATGTGCGTAGGGATTTGATTCTTAGAAGGTCCCATTCATCTATTTTATCTTCTCCTGGTTGTAGGTAAGAATTCTAACTCTTAAAGGACACTTAATAAGTTTGCAGCCACTTCCTCCCATTTTGATGAAATGATTGTCCCAGAAGCAGGAGGCCTAATGTTATCACATTTTATAGCTAAGCATTAACTCTTTATAGAGGTTGAGTGGGAAGTGGACCAAGAATTCATGTTTCCTTACATGAGATGAAAACGGATTACTTCTTTCTAACAGTAAAGTAAGTATTGAGACAAAGTTCATATATAAAAAAAAATTATAAAATAAATTACCCTGCCTCAAGAGGAACGCTGTTAACATAATGTGGATTTAATTCTATAGTTCAAGTGTATATTAATTAGATTCCACTGTATATTGCAATCTTTCGATTTTGAAAATAATTTAAAATGCTCATTTTTTTTCTATTACAAATATGTGGTATGTTATTTCACACTGCCCACTCTGTTGTATGAATTCATCTATATTTTGATCTCTTTATTTTTGTAATATATTTTATTTTCTGTCAGATATTTAATATCTGCTAGAGCATATTTTACTTTTCCCTTTTCATGATTCTCTTGGTTATTTTCAACTGTTATTTTATATTTAAACTGTTTACTTCCAGATTAACTATTAAAATAATTTTAAGAGTATAAATAGCCTCCATGTATTAAAAACAAATCCAAAAAGTAAAAAGCAAGCATTCATTTTAATCAGAATTAAATTCCCAATTTCGCTAGAAAGTACTACATATTTATAGACTATTCAGCCTTCTTAAGGAAAATGATTGTCAATAAGATTTTTCCACTATATAGCATAAACAGTAAATAAATATGAAAGAAATAGGTGCTTTTTTGTATATATATTTTGTATCTAGCCACCTTAACTCTCTTACTTTAATATCTACTCTTTTTAGCAGAATCTTTTCTATTCATCTCATCTACAAACATAATTTCATATTTTCCTTACTAATAAGTACTTCTGCTTTTGAATCTGAGAAATTGTCACTGAACTAGAGTTTATAGAAGGAGGAAGAGAGAGCTTAACAGAGAACAACTTAGAAACCTGTAGGATTCAGGGTCAATCAGTGCTTTAGAGAACTAAAACCAAACTCCCCACTATCAAGCTGATTCCAACTCATGGAGACTGTACAGGGCAGACCAGAACATCCCCACAGAATTTCCAAGGCTGTCAGTCTTCCTCTCTCTGTCTCCATCTATCTCATTGCTGTCAAGTCAGAAGTAACTCCCATCTGATCCTCCAGGGGGGTTTCAGAGGCTGTAAATAACCCTGGAGAAGACCACCCATCTTTTTCCCTTGGAGCAGTTAGTGGATTTGCGTGGCCTAGCTATCAGAGCTCCTCCGAAGCCCTAGAAAAAGATTCATGAAATTTAACTATGTTAAGGAGTGAATGTTGTGCTCACCTTTGGCAGCACATATACTAAAACTAGAAAGATACAGAGAAGATTAGCATGGGCCCTGTGCTAGGATAACACGCAAATTCATGAAGCGTTCCATATTTTCGAAAAGGAAAAAAAAAAAAAGAAAGAAATGAATGTTATAGTATTATCATTACAGAGCCTGGAAACCCAAAGCAGGCCTTTCTATTAAAACAGAGGTGTTCATAAAAGGATGTGCAAAAGCAGAGTGCTCTTTGTGTTTAAGACTATTTTAATCTTGACTTTAGGACGAAAAAAAGAGAATAATGGTAGATAAATGTGATGAACAGAATCTATCAAGAGTCTGGTGATAATTAAGTCAAACCCCTAGATTTTATTACTTTTCAGCAAGTAGAAGGGGAAAGTAACAGCAGAGATAAGAAATCCTTTGCAGATATTGTGACGATTCTGGTGAAGAAAAAGATACAGGAGGAAAAACAATTTAAAAAAAATTTTAAATGGTAAGATTAAAATGTTAACACGACATCTAATTGGAGATCTTCTCTAGAGAAGAAGATACACACAACTAAACAGAATGTGACAGAAAGATAAATCATGGTATCATCTATAGATAGTAAAAAAGAGTCTAATAGCAAAGTAGATTCTGGAGGAGATAAAAGATATCATTACTGTTATTAGATGCTTTGAGTCTGTTTCAACTCACAGTGACCCTAAGTCCAACAGAAGAAACCCTGCCTGGACGTGCTGCAGCCTCACGTTTAGACCCATTGTTGTGGCCACTGTGTCTACCCATCTCATTCAGAGTCTTTCTGTTTTATGATGATTCATTATGAAGCAAGATGTCTTCCTCCAGGAAATGGTCCCTCCTGATAACATCCCCAAAGTATGTAAGATGAAGTCTCACCATCTAAGAAGATTCTGACTAAGACAGACTTATTTTCTTCTAAGATAGACTTGTTCCTTTGGCAGTTCGTGGTATATTCAATATTTTTCACACTACGATTGAAAGGCATGGATTCTTCCATCTTCCTTGTTCACCTTTCACATACATATAAAGCAAATGAAAACACCACGGCTTGAGTCAGGAGTGTCTCAGTTTTTAGAGTGACATCCTTGCTCTTCAGCACTTTAAAGAGGTCCCTGGCAGCCAAAATGCCACTGCAGTGTATCATTTGATTTCCTGACTGCTGCTCTTCCATGAGTGTTGACTGTAGATCCAAGTAAGATGAAAAGCACCACTTATGTGTCTGTTTGTGATACAGTTGGTGGCTTGGAGATGGCAGTGGTGCTGGAAGCTGTATCACTAGTATCTACAGTAACAGCAGAAGTGCCCATGGTGGACAGGTTTCAGCAGGGCTTCGTGACTAAGACAGGACTTGCCATTTAATTTAGAAATAATAGGACCTTTAAACTCCAACAAATAAGAGTGAAACATTGCCTGATATGGTGCTAGAAGATGAGGCTCTCAGGCTGGAAGCTTCTCAAAATACAACTGGAGGAGAACTGATTCCTCAAAATAGAGTCTACCTTAACAACATAGATGGAGAGACGTTTTTAGCCAATTGCTATGGTTGTTATGTGGCACCAAGTCTGAACTGACACATTCTGACCTTCCAGGGGGTCTTCAGAGGCAGTGGACTATATTGGAGGAGACTGCTTCCTCCTGCAGAACAGCTGGTAGATTTGAACTGTAGGCCTTTGGGTTGGCAGCACAATGCCTATCACTAGGCCATCCTTTTAGCCAATTAATGACCTCCATTTGCTGATGTGACATGACGCAAATTAAGAAAAAGCACTACAAAATGCATTAATAATCAGGTTAAGAAGTATAAAGTATGAATCAAGGAACACTGGAAGTTGTAAAAAAATGAAATGGAACACATAAAGATTGCTACTAGACTTCAGTGAATTGAAATGGACTGGCACTGGTCACTCT